CTGCGCAGTCGTCTGCCTCGCTCGATCAAACATGGCCGCCACCGTGTAACAGACGGGTGTTGCTATCCCGCGGGCGTGGAGGGACGGTCACGTGATACAGTTGACGTACACTTCAAAACTTAACAGTAACCATAACCCTAACTCCAACCCTAACCCTAACACTAAATATCTATATATCGGATCTCTATATATAGGGGTGTCATCCACAAAAATTAATCTATGGTGTGGAGACAGATATCATGATGCAAAAACCCTAATCCTAACCCTAACCCTGATCCTAACACTAGTGCTGCCACGTTGCAGTAGCGTCCCTCCACGCCCCGGGGGATAGCAACACCCGTGTAACAGACGCAAATGGAACTTAAAGGGATGCTTTACTCTAGAATTTGAGAGTATATTCATAAATAATAGCATATACCTACATATATCTATAATCACGCATTCACGCTTGTCATAAAACAACATTGAATTTCGAAACCTTCATTTTTGGGCGCTGACATGACACCTGCGATTGTGCTGCCACCCTGAAGAAGTTGCGCATTTGCCAATTTATTTTGCACGTTACAGACCGAGGGCTAATCACAAAAGTGCAATTATATTTATATCTAAATGCTATTTAACCGAACGATATTCAAATTTATCCATAACTGAAACTATATGCCGTTTATAAGATATTGCAATCCATCTGCTCTTAAATTAATAAATAAGAAACGCCCTCGGTCTGTAGCCTGCAGCCGCAACGTTGCTTTGTGCAACTTTTTCAGTGGGTGCGCTGCCAGTGGCGCCACCGTCGTTGTAAGCAACGGTATAGCCGTCAGTTTTAAAGTGATTACGTAACGAATTTCTAGCACCATCAAGTAGTATATTTGTGTGTTATTTTAACAAAATAAAATGTATGAAAATACAATTAGTGTTTCTGTTTACTTTTCATGCTTATATTAATATACCTTCTTTATATGCCCTAATTTGCCGGTGAAAAATAGAGAAACGCCAGTATCTGAACAGTACTGGGGGAATAGTTAGACAACAGAAATTAACAAATCGTCTAGATTTTTGCAAATTTAACCATTTTTATCAGGTGAGAGTTTGAGGATATATTTAGTAACGTTAGTTCTTACTTTTAATGTAAAGAAATATCAATTTTTCTTTTACAAATTTTACCATGGAAGATTCGTGACGTAGTCAATTTAAAACATTAAAAAAAAATTTCTAATAAATATTGAATCATAAAACTTTTTATGAAGCGTAATTTTTACCTGTCTTAGCCGATATTATCTGAGGAACCTAGAGAAATGTATCCCTATAAGTGTAACAGAAATTAAGTGAAAGAAAGATTTATAAAAACAGAAACAGAAATGGAGTGCACACGGCTGCACAAATGTCTGCCGCACACGATCAAAGATGGCTGCCACCGTGTAACGGATGCAACCGGCAGTTAGATGCGATATGATATGACTACTAGGCACTTTAATTTAATTTANTCCCTGGCAGGACCTCCCCCTTCCCTGGCAGGACCTCCCCTTCCATGGCAGGACCTCCCCCTTCCCTGGCAGGACCTCCTCCTTCCATGGCAGAACCTCCTCCTTCCCTGGCAGAACCTCCACCTTCCCTGGCAGGACCTCGCCCTTCTATGGTAGGATCTCCCCCTTCCATGGTAGGATCTCCCCCTTCCATGGCTGGACAACCACCCCCCCCCACGCACGAGGACGCACTTCAGCTACTGTTGTGCAAGAGAGAGTACAGATACTCGAGCGTGCGTCGAGACCGTGGTCTATGTGCGTCGGGATCGCTCGATCGTCTGATGCTCCAGCACACAGCAGGCGTACGATCCCACGACTGCACCACACAGGAGCGAGCGTAGAAGCTACAAACACCGCGTGTAATGCAAAAAACCCAGAGACGACACAAACTGCTACTGCTACTACTACTACTGTTACTGCTAGTGTTGCTACTAATACTAGTACTGCTACTACTGTTACTGTTACTGCTAGTGTTGCTACTGCTACTAATACTAGTACTGCTACTACTGTTACTGTTACTGCTACTAATACTAGTACTGCTACTACTGTTACTGTTACTGCTAGTGTTGCTACTGCTACTGCTAGTGTTGCTACTGCTACAAATACTAGTACTGCTACTACTATTACTGGTAGTGTTGCTACTGCTAGGGTTGCTACTACTACTAATACTAGTACTGCTACTACTGCTACTATTTATACTACTACTACTTCACACAAATGGTGAAATTTGAAGAAACAATTTAACGGTGAATTACGAAAGCTTTAATTAACGAATTATTTACCATCGTAACGGAAATTCGCAAAGTAGTCTATAATTTAACTACATCGAATGCACAAGCAAGCAATACTTAATTTTTTAATTAGTCTATAATGTATAACATATATTACATAATATATACATTACAGAATATATATATATATACATATATATGAATATATATGAATATATATGAACATATATGAATATATATAGATATATATATAGGACACTGCACAGTTTTAATTTCCACAATTCTGACCCGCACATACGTATCACTTCCTGTTTGTAAACTTAGAACGCTGCAGCGAGATACTACACTCCGCCCTGCGGCCATATTGCATCTGCGCGCATTGAGCTGCGAGTCCTTCAAGTCTTTCTGGTCTTCTAAGATGGCTGCAGCGAAACCTTTGGACACACATGACGAGGTTGGAACCCGGTGTGTAGCAGCGCGGGTTAGTAAAGATGGCTGCCAACGGCAGGGGTCGAGTGAGTGCGAGGTTTGGTGGGACACACGGGAAACTAGACGACGACAAAGAGGTGCCAAAGACAAGAGATCGTCTCACAGGCATGCACGACCGACGCGCCTATTAACAAGCGAACATCTCGTGGGCACGCACGCCATCCGGCGCCCACATTAACGAGTGCGTATCGCCACGGCTCCAACGTCCGACCTCGCCTCAGCAAGCGAACGTCTCTATGGCGTTGGCTCCCCTGGCGTCGCGTCGCCGGTCACGCGCCTAGCTACGATAATACTAGAGCGGTGCACAGCGCCACTCCTTGTTGTGTTACATCACCGACGACATCTAGACGTCCACATGTCTGTCGCTCTCCCGTCTCGCTCCCCGCTACCACTGAAATAGAAAAAACAGAAATGCTCACTGTTCGTGTCTGCGCAGTCGTCTGCCTCGCTCGATCAAACATGGCCGCCACTGTGTAACAGAAATGCTCACTGTTCGTGTCTGCGCAGTCGGCTGCCTCGCTCGATCAAACATGGCCGCCACCGTGTAACAGATGGGTGTTGCTATCCCC